CGGGGGGGGGGGCAACATTCAACCTCATACCCCTGAACTAGTAAAAGAACAAATCTATTTTATTTCTCCTTCAGTGAATAAAAGTACAAGAGATCATGAAATTTTAGTGATTTTAGTAAGTTACTGTGACAGCTTTTCCCATTTACGAACAAACCAGTTTCATTTTAAAAAATATAAACCAATGTACAAAATTTTTTAAATGCACAGAAAATTGAGGTAGCCAACCCCGCACCCATACTAATACAGAGGGTAATTTGCCATTTACATTTTAAAAAAGAAGTTTCGTTCAGATCAGGTTCTTCATATAATAATGTTTCACAAGGTCGTCGGTCGTTGAAGCCGGAAAATAATAAACAGGGAGTATGGAATAAGGAGCGGGGGTGCGCAAAAAAAAATTTAAAAATTAATAAGCAGGGGGGGCTTTTCGACACCTTAGAGTACCCCCCTTCCACCAGAACGACACAGAGCATGTCACTTTCGTTTCCCCTTGTTAAATACACCTCTCCACCCAGTCCTCCACATCCATGTTAATAACACTGGTCAAGTTAAAAATAAGACATGATGATTCTTTGTTAATGAGAATTTGATGCTTATGGGCGTATTTTTTCGAATGGTAGGGTGTCACAGACAACTTTGGTTTCCTAGAATCTCGAGGCACTTTCCAAATCAGGATTAAAATTAATCAAAATCCACTTCAGTACACCTGTTTTTTCTGCACTCAATCTCACTATCATCCACTTCCCCAAAGTTACTGACGTCTCATTTCTTGGTTCTGAGAATGAGGTAGATCTAGATCTTACACTGTCGGTCATACAAAATGTACACAAATTCTAACTGACAGCGCAGATTTAATTCTGGCCGTTCAGGAAAATCCACGAAAAAAAAATTCTGGCATATTGGAGCTAAAGCAATTTTTTTAAAAGAAAGAAGATTCAGATAACAGTGACAGGGGAAAAGAAGTAGAAGGAGAAGACTACAACTCAACACACTTCCACAGCCTGAATTATGCGAGTAGCAAGATTTCTTCCACATGGACTTTTTGTAACAACAAACAAAACAAATAACGTGCCCTGAAGACATTAGGGGTCATGTTGCTAACAAGACCTAGAAATCAAATACTTTTCTACTGTCAAAGTAAAATTCAAAGACCATACAGGTAATTGAAAAACACACCAGAACGTTACTTAACTTGAAAAAATAGGTGGCTTTACCTCTCAACTTGCAGACAATACAACAATATATTTTATCACTTTAATACTTACAGTACCATCGGCGACTCGGCTCGTAATTTCCGTTCAATACCGCACGCAACTTTAGTCGCCGACTCGACCAGGCACACTAAACAACGAACGGAACTACTCCATGGAAGTAAATATCAAGGGAAATCACTCTATGCGATAGCTGAATCGTTGATGTAGCGCTTTGAATTTTTTTTTTGCGTTTTTTTAGCTGTGAAGGGGGGTTTTTTGTTGACATTTTTAATGATTTTTTGTTCTACCATGGCTTCAGTGTTCCCAGATCGCTAGATCTATGCCTCTGATTCAGGTGAAGAACTTCGTGATTGTAGTGACGACAGTTGGCCTGATCTTGACAATTTGTCTGATGTAGAGAGCCTGACAGTCACAAAGACAGATTCAGAAATGTTCCAGTTCCAGCTGGTCGTGTTTCTTCGTGTGTTAGATCTAGGGGTGAAGCAGGACCCTCAACAGGTAATGTTGGTAGGTCCAGGGCTACAGGTGATAGAAATTCAGTTGGGCGTGTCTACCCTCTCCAAACAGAATGAGAGTTTTATCATAATGTCTTTATGTCGCAAAAAAGGTTTTTCTATAAATACATTTATTTCTGAATATATCTTGAAAATTTCATGTAATTCTGTCAATGACTTTTGTTTCAATGAATTTTTTTGTAATGTACCCTAATTATTTTGTTGGCTTCTAAATCGGTGCGGTACTCAAGGGTTTTTCACTATATGACCCCGCGGTACTGTAAGTGTTAATTAAAGACAGGATCTCACCAGCTTTGGCAGTGTCCGACTCCTCATCCTCGTCGGAACTGTAGATCTTTCTGCCGGGACGTTTCCCCAGAGCCTTAGACGTTTCCTCCAAGTCGGAGTCGTCGTCATCATCATCATCGTCGTCTTCTTCCTCGTCGTCCACAAAGGCCTCCTGCTTCTCCGACTGGGCACTGCCCGTCACCTTGTCCTCCGGGTCATCATCTTCCCCTGCTGCCGCTGGTTCCTGAGACTTTTTCTGCAAGACAGAACAAACGTATCATCATTGTCATGTAGTAATGTAAATATCGAATAGGAAATACACGCGAAATATGCACACATCAGTACTGATTACTGGAGCTGACCCGGAAGTTGTACCTGATTTAGGAGGGACACTTCACTTCCCCGTAAGCTGGCATGCCGTCAATAAGCTTACCATTATGAGTACACCTTCGTCAAGATACCTAACAGGTTAGTGCCAACAGATTCTAGATCTAGACACGTTACAATCATACAGGTACACACTGGCGCTGCATGGTACAAATTATCTCTTTTAAGCACAAGGGGGCTATCCCCAAAAATGCGGTTTTGAGAAAAGCGAAGGTATAGTTGTTTTTTTTAGTTTTAGTAAGTGGCTTTTTGGGGGTTTTTTAGTAAGAGTTTTACGGAGCTCACAACTGCATAAGGTCATATGAGGCCAGAAGATTAAAGGTGTTACAATAGAGTAACGAACATAAAAAAGAAGAAGGGGAGAAAAGGACGATAGATGTTTGATAGGAAAAAAGAAGCAAACCACACCAGAGCACCCGCCAACCACCCACTGTGACATCACTGGGACTCAGTGTCAAACTTCGGTAAGTCGTGTCCCTACCCACTTTGAGGCTATCCATAAGTAAAGACACAAAACAACACATTGACATTTCCCTTAATAATAATAATAATAATAATAATAATAATAATAATAATAATAAATGACATTTATATAGCGCTCAACTCTGATTAAAATACACAGGCTCTGAGCGCTTTACAATACAATACAACGTACAACGGAAACATAAAACGTTGTGGTCTGACTAAAAAAAAATTATTATTCCAAACATTCATCTTATTATTCAACTACCTTGAATGACGGCAGCTTGGACATGCCAGAGCGGATACCCAGCAGGCCGCCGGAGCTGTAGCGGTTGAAGCCTAGCCCTGCCTCCAGACCTCCTTCCTTGGACCATGGATGTCGAGCCTCGAAGAGGCCAGCGAGGGCAGAGGTCATGCCTGGGGCCACACTGGGAGCAGGGGCCACCTCTTTCTTCACCTCCACCTTGTCCACTTTGGATGGCTGCACAAGAACAAAAATGTGTGAGTGTGTGTGTGTGTGCATGTGTCTGTGTGTGTAAATTCAAGTGTGAGCGCGTGTTTGTGCGTATGAATGTGTAGGTACATGTCTGCTTGTGTGTAGGTGGTGTGTGCTTGTGTGTGTGTGTGTGTGTGTGTGTGTGTGTATGTGTGTGTGTGTGTCAGTGTTTGTGCGTGTGTGTGTGTGTCTGTGTAAATTGGAGTGTGTGTGCGCGTACGAGTGTGTAGATACATGTATGCTTGTGTGTAGGAGGTGTGTGCTTGTGAGTGCGTAGAAAATTTCTTGAGCTCAACAGTACTTACAACCAATCACAGAATTCATGAAATTATGGGGGGGACAACACAGCCATACCCACACAATATCATATCCCTCAACCCACCGTTTAAGTATAAGTCGAGATTTTTACGGCGTAAGCAACTGCATAAAGTCATAGAAGAAGCAAACCCCACCAGAGCACCCGCCAACCACCTACACAAACAGACAAGCAGATAGAGAGAAAAGACTTCTGAGGCACATCACCATCAACCCCAAGCAGGGCAGAGATCTAGTCCTGTGGTACAAAATCATTGTGATTCCAACCGACTGCCTACAAAGAGCAGAGGAAATAAAAAGCTTTATAAATTTATTTCCAAGACCATAACCAATAATCCTTGCAAACAGACAACTGGGCAGGACAGGAAGGGAGGCAATCTGGATTATAATAAGCCTCGATGGAACAAGAAGACAAAATAGACTTGAATAGGGAAAAACAAAAATCTTCTGGAGTTGCACCAAGTTAAAAAAATGATAGGAGGAGCTAAAATTCAAGCACCAAGACCATTAGTATTTAACTCTTTACAAAGTGCTTTAACTTTTAAAACTACAACATACATCCTACATCCCTTTAATTACACACATGCTGAGTGTCCTCCTTTCGGACAAGAAACCGTTGCGCATTGTTCCCTTCTACAAATGTACTAGAAAAATTAACGTACATTTCTAAAGTTGTTCCCGCATCCGATCCTGACACTGGGGATTGCCTAGTTAGTGAGACAACTTCCTGGGCCTTCGGCATATTGCGGTAGGGTGGCCAGTTCCTTTCCACGCCGTCTTTACTTCGCCAACTCGAAGTCAGGTACCCATGACTGCTGGGTGGGCAGGAGGGGGTGAAAAAACTTTCCGCTTCGGAGACGAGCGCACTAACCGCTCAGCCACTGCACCTTTCTAGATACCCTAATAATATTAAGGATATTTCTCTGCTCTACAGTGATAATGATAATACTATTTCCTAGAACAATCCTGATACTGCCGCGCTGGGAAAACAAGAGCCCATGGACACTGCTATTGCACGCAGAGGGTATAATATACAGTCAAACCTGTGTAAGACGGCCACCCATTGTCAACGAGAAAGGTGGCCGTTTAAGACAGGTGGTCGTCTTAGGCAGAACTGATCAAGATGAAGAAAACAAACCATTCCTATCTGAAGTCCCAATCGAAAGTAGCCGCATTGTTGTTGTTTTTGTTATTGTTGGTATGTATTTTGTTTGTTATTTTTATTTTGTTGCTGATTTTGCCCAAGGGTGACAATAAAACGAAATGTATCAGACGAGGAAGACCCAGTGCCATGTTAAAACAAACACATGGGTCGCTACCACTCGGAGAGCGAGCGACGCTTCTGTCGCAAGCTAATGTTGACGTCCATTGTTCATTGTTATTTTGTTACAACTGGGTAAACAGTGACCACTCATCTCACTTACGATTTGTGTATGAGTTCTGGGCAGGGCTTATGGGTTTTGAGGGATCACACGCTTACCTCATCAGCAGCTGAAAAGTGGTAGCTATTGGTCAACAGTGGGAGGGGCCTACGCAACATATCGGTTGGAGGGACTACCTAACAACAACGAAGGTGATTGAATTATGACGGCTCGCCCACAACGCCAGGGGCCAAAGCACAATTTATGACAAAACGAAATAGAGACACTAAGGTGGCCGTCTAAGATAAGTGTTATTGCTTAGTGTGATAGGGGTTGTGTGTTAAAATATGGTGGCCGCGGCCGCGTTGAACAGGTGCCCATTTTACACAGTTAAATTATACAGAAAAAACGCAAGGGGGGAAATGGAAGGTGGCCGTTTGTACAGGTGGCCGTCTTATAGAGGTGGCCGTCAGGGCAGGTTTGACTGTATATCCATGGAACGAACACAGGTACCTTTTCGAGACCTACCCTCCTTTCACAGAGATATATATGTGTCATGTTTACTCTAAAAGCCCAGAGGCGTGTGTGTCTGCATCTACCACATTTACACGACACACATTCAGAAACAGATGAAAAGATCTGATGACGTCATTACTTACCTTGTTCTTTTCCTGTTCTTGGTCCCACCACTGCTCAAAGTACTTGAATGCTGACGTTTCCACCATTTTCTTACACAGATCTTTCTGCATGATGGATTTGAGCTCGGCCACAAACTCGCTGAGCACATGGGAAAACATATGAGTCACAAAATCCGTCTCCTGGTCAAACTCAGCCCCGGGGTCCCCGCCGATGCCCGGCGGGCCCCGACTCTGGGGGCCCCAGTCCTCCGTGAAGCCGGGCTGGGTCCCGTTGGGCGGGTTGACCACTAGTCTCTCCTCCCCGCTGCTCACAGAGTCCAGACTCATGCGGTCGTCCTCCACGTCCAGGTCGGCCCCGACCCCGTTGTTGCGCAACGGTAACGAGTCCTCCGAGTACGACGAGCGAGGTTTGAAGTCAATCTCCATTAGCGGAACGGGCGAGCCCTCCGCCTTCCTCTCCGCGCCCCTCCTCCTGTTCTCCCTCTTTGAGTCCATGAGGCTGTTGGGAGAGACGTCCGGAGTGAAAAAGGAATTCTGACCAGAAAACTTACTGCCACCCCCTCCTCCTTTGTTTCGATTTTTCTTTTTACCCTTCCCCCGACCTTTACCTTGAGCGTCACCGTTGAGCTGTGACCGCGAGGGGTCAAAGTTTTGTTGGTGGGAGGGAGGAGGGTGTCCTTCCATGGGGGACTGTGGGACCCACGGCATGGTGGGCTGAGGGGGGAGGCCGTTGGAGCCCGCGGCCCACATGTCCATGTTCATGTGACCTGACGGCGGCTGCATATGGGGGGGGCCCGACTGGCTGTGGAGAGGGGGGGGCTGCCCGTGATGAGGTGGGGGAGGCTGTGCGTGATGGGGCAGGGGCATGTGCGGGTGATGGAGAGGGGGGAGGTGGCCCGGCGGGCCGTGCGGCCCATGAGGGCCGTGTGGGTGGTGGCCCATGTGCACGTTGTTGGCCTCCCACATGACATTGGAGTCCTGGTGAGGCCCTGGAGGGAGCCCGTGGCCCGCGGCCTTCGGGGCCGGCGAGGCGGGAATGTCCGGCTCGCAGCCCGCCTCCCCGCCCGACTTCCCGTCCTCCTTGTCCTCCGCCTCGCCACCGCCCTGAAGGAGACTCTGGATTCGGGACTCAAGGCTCATGAACCGCGGCTCCTCGTCCACCTCCGCTTCGGGGGTGTCCGGCTGTGCAGACTGCTTCTCCATGGGGATTTCCTTGGGCACCTCCACGAGCGGCCTCTCGGGGACCGGCTCTCTGTTCCGAGGGGGCGGGCCTGCAATGATGGGCGGACCGGGGCTGGGACCAGGTATGACAGGAGGCGTCGGGGTCGGAGGGGGCTCGTGGAACTCCATAGCGGGAGGTCGCCCCCCTCTGCCCCTCCAGTCTCGCTCCTCGCGACTGTTCATTCCGTGCATACTGGAGGGGTCTGGTCTGTCAAAAGGCATGGGAGACGGGAGTCCATGCATGCCCCCGGGAGGAGGCTGGTCGGGGGGAGGAGGGAATCTGGACGGCATCTCAAATGGCATATGGCCCGGGCCGGGGCCGCGAGGGGGCGGGGGTCCTGGACCGAAGTTGTCGTTAAACATCGGATGGTGAGGGGTCATTGGGGGCGGGCCGTGATGGATCGGAGTCTGTGGATGCGGGGGCATGTTCTGATGGTGGAACGGGGGCATGTGAGGGGGAGGGCCGTTGAAGTTCATGTCACCGGCCGGTGTGAAGGGTGGCGGGGGGTGGTGGTGCTCCTGGCCCGGGGGCAGGAAGTGCTGTGGGGGGTGGTGGGGGTCAAAGCTGTTGGGCGTGTAGCCGCTCTGGCTGAACGGCGTCCCCGAGTTGTAGCCCATGTCGGAGGAGGAGGAGCCGCTGACGTTGTCGAAGTGTTCCGGGACGTTCTCCTGCTGGTGCGGCGGGTGCGAGTGGTGGTGCTGGTGGCTCTTCTTCTCCCGGTGCCGAGAGTACGACGGCTTCTTCTCCGACTCGGGCTCCACGTAGTCGAACCTCTCGAGCGTGTCCACGCTGCTGGTGCGTGACGGGGGCGGGCCGTGCTGCTTCATGGGCTCCATTTCAATCCGGGGCCGCTCACACAGTCGCTCGTCCATCAGCCGCTGACGTTCCTTGCCTGAGGAAACAACCACGACAACGCACAAGGACTCTTTAGTTTTAGTAAGAGTTTTACGGCACTTGCAAAACAATAAGGTCTTACTAGTGGGCCGAAGATTAGTTTAGTTCTAGTAAAGGTTTTACGGCACTCGCAACACAATAAGGTCATGTGAACGCCAGAAGATTAGAGGTGTTACAAGAGAGTAACAAACATAAAAAAGAAGAAGGGGAGATAGGACGATAGATGTTTGGTAGGAAAGAAGAAGCAAACCACACCAGAGCACCCGCCAACCACCTACCGAAAAGAATGGCGCCAGTCAGTTGACAAGATGATTTTAAAAAAGAGAGGTATGGAATATGGAGTGTTATATACCAAAACCCCATATCCCTGATGAAAATCATAAAGAAAATCTGACTCGCTTTCAGTTTTCATCAAAGATAGGAAAGGTGATCTTTAACTTAGAAAAATCACAACTTCCATCATCACTTGATGTTCACAAGACAGAAATCTGTTGTTAGGCAGAAGACTTGCACGGCCATATTATCAACCGTTTTGTCTCTCCTCGTAGCTAAAAACCAACTCATGGACATGTTCCACAGAAATAGGCAGAGAACGGGTCACTTGCTGTATTGTGACTCCGACAGTTTAAACTGCTGAGGTGCTAACACACACACAATGCAATCAGAAATGCGCACGACAAACTATTTAGTTTAGTTTTAGTAAGAGTTTTACGGCACTTGCAACACAGTAAGGTCATATAAGTGCCGAAGATTAGATGTGTTACAAGAGAGTAACAAACATAAAAAAGGAGGAGAGATAAGGACGACAGATGTTTGATAGGAAAGAAGGGAGAAAACCACACCAGAGCACCCGTCAACCACCCACTCAACAAACCTACCCATAGTGTCCAACACAACGTTCATGATGTTGCCCATCTTGGAAGTACGATGAAGCTTTTCCACACACGCACGGGCAGACTTCGACTGGGCAAACACGGCCTGAACAAACAGAAATGTTTGTTAACGACCAGGAATTCTCAAGATTGTTCGCGCCTTTGTAAGTTAATCACATCAAAGTGCTTTCAGTATGAGACCAACATAATTATTGGTAACGGAGTACAAAAACAAACAACACATAAAATGTATCAGAGACTCAATTTCGTGTGATCAAAGGCATGCATTTGGTGGAAAGTCATGTGACGTCTTAATTAATGTCCAGCTTTGAAAAGTTTAGTATTAGTAAGGTTTTTTGGCCCTCGTAACTGCATAAGGTCATATGAGCCCCAAGGGGTGGATGTCAACAGAGAAATCTAAACAGGGAATCAGGCTTACCCTGCTCACCTCCCACTGCACAAAGTCTACTTGGACTATCAAGGCACCCCCGAAACAGCAGTTCACAAGAGAGTGACAAACATACAAAAGAAATAGAGGAAACATGACGATAGTGAGGATGAGGAAAGAAAAAGCATAAGTTCCCCCTGTGTTGTTCCGGCACAGTATGAGCATGACATTGATAAATCACCCCGTTTACAATTCTACTGTGTGTAAGAACATGTTAGTGTTCTCCCCTTTGGGAATGGCCTAAAGACACTTTAGCCAGTAATACTGCCCGCTTTGAAAAGGACTGAACAAGTTTATGAAAAACCTTAAAAACTGACTAGACATCCTAAGCTCAAGAACACCTCTTTGGGACACCAAAAATGGTTACCTGCACCATAGTCTAGTCTGATAAAGTTTTCTTTTCGTTTTTAGTTTTAGTGTTTTCCGGCACTTGCAACACAATAAGGTCATTTGAGTGAAAGAAGATTAGAGGTGTTACAAGAGAGTAACAAACATAAAAAAGAGGGGGGGACAATAGACGTTTCATTGGACAGAAGAAGCAAACCACACCAGAGCACCCCCCAACCACCTACATAGTTCAGTCTGATAAAGTCTTCAAATATATGCAGAAATTATTGTGACAAAATACCACCCTTCCTATAAATGGCTGTCGCTTAAATGTTTGGGAGCCTTGACTTTCACCTTTCATTTTGACTCCCCAAAAATATTTTAAATATAAAAAATTCATGGCTGGGATTTGTTTAAACCCTATCCGTACCTCATGTTTTTCCAAAGAGAAAATTTACTCGTTAATCAGAGCTTCCAGCAGCTGATGTCATTTTTCGAGGATTTTCGGGTCCAGGGCGGAGCCCTGGCAGGGGGTTGAAGGAGGACAGCGTCCCCTTTATGTTTGAGAACTTTTGGTTTCGGAGCATCCTAAGTATGCCATTTCTGGCTATTCAAGCCTAAATTTAACAGAAAATAAGTGAAAAATAAAACACACTTTGCATAGGTCTACATAAGTTTCTGCTTGTGTTAATCCATATATTTCCAAATCCAAAGCCATGCTTTCTCCCTTGGCCCTTGTACTACAGATACTGTACATCCACAACTAGATCTAGATCTATAAAACTTGACAGTTAATGTTTAACTTTTTTTTCTGCTTGTGTTGGTTTGCACCATAATCATCATAAGGTGTAGAATCCTTATAATAATAGTATAACAGTTTGACTTGATCTAGATTTAGATCTAGATCTAGATCTAATATCTAGCTAGATTCTAGTCAAGATTCTAGATCTAGAGTCTAGATCTAGTCTAGATCTAAATAACTTGACAGCTTATTCAACTTAAATCTACAACAAAACTTACAAATA